GTAAGACCCCGAGGAAGAAGAAAAGAGAGACGAGCGGCCCGTGGTGCAGCTTACCACGAGGCCGTCGCGAGCGATCAGTTTGTTCAACGTACACAACCGGCTCGGACGTAGTCGTCGTCGCCGATTGTGAACCAGCAGTGAGCTACCGTCGAGTACGAGGCGACCCATAGAGAGCACCAGCTGGAGGATGCTTCTTTCCTTCGTTGGATAACGTCCACTGATTTTCCTGTACGTTTCTAATTATCATCCGCGATTATTACTTTCTTTCTTATCGCTTATAATTTGTTACTTTGAATACTACTTGATGACCAACGACACACCGTCTGCGTCTTGTGTCTCAAGCATTCAGAATTTTATAATCGCAAGTCAGTTATTATTTATTTTTACGAATTTCGTTTTAAAAGCTATAACACATAGCGGTGTGCGCGTTGCATTACCTGTTCGTTGCAACTGGTGACACATCGTATGCGTCTCGCATTGTCTACCCGTGTAACCGATGACGCATCGTATACAGCTTAGGGAGAAATTGATATTATCAATTGGTAATCGAAATGATGTATGGAAGGCGAAATCGTACAGGCGTAAAATCCATTAGAAAGTGTCTAAAGAGATTAAAATTTTCATTAGTTCGAAACGAAAGCATAAAATTATTTTAGAAGGATATAGCATTGATCATTTTTTATTTTGCGACGATGTGCTCGAGATAGTTAAGTGAAAACAGGTTACCTTCAAATCGAACCTCGTTTGCAATCGAAATGACCGTAAAACTCTATTACTTGTTCATCGTTCGAAAAAAAAAAGAATTTCAGGGTACTGCCTTCGCGTCGAGCATGCTTGAATATTTTTCCTTTCCTCGAAAGCAGCAGCTAGAAAATTGGCGAATATCGTTCCATTAAGGACATTGTTCTTGCTTCGTTGCTGTAAAATTCGCTTTAACGATCGTGCCAGGGAAGTTAGCAGGTCTCGCCTTTTTCCGGTAAGGTCGCCGGTAGGAAAGCTCGCCTTATACTGCCATTAGTATAATTAACCCAGATTTTCCCGGATTTATGGTGAACGGCGCACGGGTCAGAGCTGTGCCGGCTACATTATAATGCCTCGTCCACACAGTTGTTTCCTTTAGTTCGTATACTCTACAGAGATGCTATGTTGTTTCTAAATGAAATTACGAAAATTAACCTTCTTAGTCGATTCATATAAATCGAATGCGAAAATTCACGGTTGCCATAACGGTTGATGAACGCGGTATTAATGATCGATGATATTCCTTTAATTAACGAGAAACACGATCGAAAGATCGTGGAAAGATTGCGCAGCACGAGTTAATAATTGCAACGCGTTGCACAAGATTAATTCGTATTCTTCGCGAGCAATTAGCTTTGAAACGCGTCCACCGTATTGATGAATAGGTTTCGGTGAATGGAACAAAGAGGCAAATCAACCATGAACGTCTCGCTATCGTTTCTAATTAATAATGCTCGTTGCTTTCCGCTTTGTTTAAATTAAGAACCGTAATTAACGCTTAATCGAGTCATTCGGGATTAAAATTTTCATTCAAAATCGTATTACATCGAGAGAGTATAAAAAGTTGAATGATTTTATAAATTTATCTGATTTAGAGTCGGTCGATATTACAATTATAAAACATGCTTTCGTTTAGGAAACACATTCGTATTTAACACGAAAGGATATTCAAGAAACGAAAATGTCGGAGGGCTGCACGAGTTGCAGAGGTGCAAATTATGCAGGTACCACCCTGCAGTTAGGCTCGACTTCCGGTGGCGGGACCGGAAGTGGGTCCTCTACGGCTGGTACTTCTTGCACAACCACCAGAAGAGTTCAGGTACGGGCGAAGGTGTTGTACGGGTCTGGAAAGGCGATCGCGAGCTTGCAAGCACAAGAGAAAGCTGCAAGACACTGAAAAGGTACGTATTATTCGGTTTAGAAATAGCGCGTAACTGCTTAGGTAACTAGGTGAATAAATAACCGAAGAACTGGGGAGAATAATGATCGAAAGGTTGTCGTTAATTAATATAATTAAGCAACCTGATTTTTTAACATTAGAATTCAATGTACTGTACTTTATTAATGACGACCACAATTAACATTCTTCCTCGCCTTCTTGTCTCGTGATCGGACACGAGTCTTTATGTTAATCAAAAGAGATGAAAGGCCATCAACCAAGAATTACCATAATGTTGATCTCGGTTTCCCTCCAAACGACCGTTCTAACAGGAATCGAGTACGCGCTACCTCGAGGCACGGATTCGTCGATTCTTTCCATCTTTGTTAAAAGTAGACGAGAGAGAGAAAGAAAGAAAGAAATCATTGGACAGTAGATCGAAGAAGAAGAAAAAGTTGGTCGAAATCACGGAGGTGACGGCCGGAGGGCAGCCGAGTAACAGTAAAAATCCCAGAAAAAGGTGCACGACCGACCGATCGATCGAGCAAAAAGTATACAAAAAATATCTCTTGCATCCTTCCTCGTGGATAAGACCGGTCGATCGGCCTCCACGAGGCTTAGTACTTGGTGAACCGTGTTCGGGAAGACCGCGTTCACTGAAAGACGCCTCCGGTGATCCTGTTGGGTCCTTGCGAGGGGTTGTATCCATCGTCTATATAGCTTCCATCGCGATCGGAACAAGTCTTTTTACAGACAGCATGCGATCTTCTTTTCTGTGAGTTTCTCCATTTTTATCGATCCTCTGGTATATACATACATATAATATAAAATTTTAAATACAATTTCGAAACGTAAGCGTCTAATATTTCTTTTTCTAATTTTTTACGTTATCGTTATCGTGCAAGAATTTCATTATCCTGGGAGCAAGGAAAAAATTCTTTCGTTATTTGGTATCGTAGTAAGATCTCACAATGGATGATCCCGTTACATCTGTCGACATTCCAAATAAAGGATTCGTGTTAGTTGGCCGTGGTTACCTAGTAGCCTCGCTCTGTTATTATCTATCTTTCAATTAATCGTCATAAATGGCACTCGATTTATATCGCTTTCACGCTTCCTCGCGTAAGGAAAACTGTTCTACGTATTCGTCCTTTAAATCGGTATTCGCGGTGAGTAATTGAGCGGTAAAAGTTGATAACGGGTATTTGCATATCACGAATGCGTATCTATGCATCGTTGATCGATGATCCAGTTCGATTTCACCGTGACACGAATAACGATGCGTGTATGCACATAGTGGCGGCGATTGTCTATCAGGATTCTTCTCGTAACTGCCGATACCGCTACGAGAAACCATTAGCGCTTTGTACAACTTATTCACGCAGCACTTATACTTTCACTATAAATCGGTGAAAGATGTAAGCTTCGATAAAGTTGAAATTGTAATTGTTAAATATTACTTTCCAGCACTTTCTTCGTTCTCCTCTCCTCCGCGCTATCAAAATCATCCATAAGACATGAGGCACTCGAATCGACCAATACCAAACACCTCACGAAAGCGTCTACGATCTCTCCATTAGATTCCACGTACCATAAACAAAGGATCAAAAAGGATCTCGATTCTGAACCCGTAGAAACCTTGTTCATTCCCGAAGATCCTAAGAAGTACGAGGAGATCCTGACCTCCGTACGAAAACTGTTCGAAAGGGTACAATTGAATCAGGATGTTCGGGAGAGTCCTATGATGGACGAAAGGACCACGTTCCAAAACGAGAAAATACTGCAACAGCTTCCTGAGAACACGAGACGAGAAGAATTTTCAGCGGATACATGGTCGAAAGACTCTGAGGATCAATCTTCGAGATTGGAAAGTCTTCAGGAAAAAAATTCGGGAGGATTTTTAGCAAGGACGGGTATGGAGGATGATAGAAAGGCTGGGCTAACGCTGATGGAAAGAAGTAAGGATGATAGAAGTGGACCTGAAGAAGAGGACTTTCTGGAAGCAGCTAATTTCGGATTGGAAGCTATGAAGGAACTGTACACCATCAAGGAACCGATGCTGTACTCGATGGGTATGTTTCAGGCTACTATAAATTATTATTCGTTTTCCATATGAAATAATATATACACGAGTTCAAATTTTATTCGATTTTAATTTCAATTATCTTTCTTGCCCACCGTTTGAGGGTTAAGAACAACAATTAATTATTTAAGAGTAATTGCCCAATTTTTCGCACGAAAAATACCGTAGAAATGAACCCTCTATACATCTGTTTTCCGTTAAATTTCGTCTTGTGGTAGCAAGATCTCAGAACAGTAAAGGAGCTTGCATTTCGTCAAAGTATACGTGCTACCAAATTTTAGTTATACGCTCCTGCTATCTCAGGCACCCTAATAATAGGGTTGCATATTGCAAGTTGACGGCACTATTTCCTACGTGGTAGATGCATGCATGACAAGTGTGCTTTCCTGCGCAGTAGAAATGCGCGTAATAAGTGCGTCCCTGTGCAAAAGAAATGCGCGTGGTAAATACCCTCTTATTTTAGATTTTACAGTTCTGAAACAACTTTTGCTAATAGGATATCATGTTGTTCGAAGAGCATACTTAATGGTATAGAATTTATTCCACCAACTTTGATCGTGTGACCCTGCTACTTGATGTTTCTTGTACTAGAAAAGTATAATGCAGGATGTTGATAGATAAAGAAATCAGAATAAAATCGCATATGAATCGTGGCTTCGCCAGCGCCTCCCAATGCTAGGATAGTAGAATCTGCAAAGAGGTGTTTTCCCCATCACAATGTAGATTGTGATTGTATTTCCGATAATAATTATCGATTATACCGTTAAGGCTCTTAGGTATTTATTCTCGTTCCAAGCGATCATTGATCATTCGATTCATTTTTTTTAGAGGAAGGTTTAAATTATCTTTTCATTTTTTCAAACAACACGTAACAGGCATATATTTGGATTCCGACAATCCAGCGAGGCACGTAGCAATTTTTAACGATCAAACGAAAGAAGCTAGAGCTCTCGCGAAATATGGATTCGCCGTACTTCAGGGTACTACAAGATTCAAACGGAAGTAAGAATTTCAGCCCTGTTTTACCTTTTCCGTAACTTCATATTCGCTATTTAATTTAGAAATCTCGTTAATTCGTTTACTCAAGATTTCCAAATACACCAACGGACTCGCTGCTGTTTCGTCGAAGTCAAAGTAATCCACTTCAACGTCATTGTCCGAACAGAGGAATTCCTATCTGCCCAGCGGCTAGTTTGAGGTATAGAACATCCGACGGAAGTTGTAATAATCTTCGACATCTCTGGTGGGGCTCTGCGATGTCGACCATGCAGAGGTAAAGCTATTATTTGTATTCTTGAATTTTAAAATCGACGTACTTACTGTAATTTTTTTTCAGATTTATGCCACCGGTGTACAGCGATGGGGTTCAAAGTATTCGTAGATCCGTAACGGGAAAACAACTTCCTACTGCAAGGGAAGTGACCGTCGTGGTACACGAAGATAAAGATGTACCCTTGGCATCCGTTACTCATATGCTGATGCAGTGGGGGCAGTTTGTTGATCACGATTTGACCGGTGAGATAATACTAACAAAATAAAAACAAAGTTTAAATAATAAATATTTCTATTTGTTATTATTATTAGCGACCGGACAAAGCAGAGGATTCAACGGCACCGTACCGCAGTGTTGTCTCAAATTTGGCTCTGGCTTCCAACCACCAGAGTTCATGGTAATCTTCACCGCTCTGATATTAAATAGCACTTTTGATTCGTTTAGAGGGAAATAGAATGTATCTTCGTAGCATCCAGAATGTCTGCCGATATCTGTCAGTTCGAAAGACAGTTTCTTCGGTCCCCTGGGTGTGAAATGTTTAGAATTTGTTCGAAGTGGTCCAGCACCGAAAGAAGACTGTGAATTTGGCCCTAGGGAACAGTTAACACAGGTCACTAGCTACCTGGATGCTTCTACCGTCTACAGTAGCAATGCCTTTCAAACTGACACTTTAAGATTATTTAGGAACGGTAAGATGCGATATTTATTGAAAGGAGCTTTGAAAAGAATTCTTCGATCTATGGACGTATTACGGTTCGTTAAAATTATGATCAGGTTTATTGCAATACGGAAAGCTTCAATCGCAAAGGCCGGTGCTTCCCAAACTCGATTCCGATCTCTGTAAACGTGGATCGTTATCGACGAATTGCTTCAGAGCCGGAGACGGTCGTCTAGGAGAACAACCTGCGCTCACTTCGCTCCACGTGGCGTTTCTAAGGCTCCACAATAGAATAGCGACGAAGCTAGCCGCGTTGAATCCTCACTGGAGCGACGAGAAACTATTTCAAGAATCTCGGAGAATCGTTGGCGCAATTGTTCAGCACATCACTTATAGAGAATTTCTTCCCATTGTTCTTGGTAAATATTAGATCAAATTAATATTTCCGACTATCTATTTATGATCGTCGAATATCGAGGACAGATGAAACGGAAATATTCTAGGTCAAGATGTGATGAAAATATTCGACCTTGAGTTGCTGAAGAAAGATTATTACCAAGGCTATGATCCCAAAGTAAATCCAACTGTCGCTAACGAGTTTTCTACTGCGGCTTATCGCTTTGGCCACTCTTTGGTACAACAAAGTTTTGTTAGATTCGACAGTCATCATCGACCCATTTTCAACAGTGAGTATGCCAAACCGTTTCCTAAAATGCCTATGTCTTAATGCTAATAAAGCCATCTCGGGTTATCTGTCCACTCATTGAGTGAAGCCTAATCTAATCTAACCAATATTTAACAAGACCATTAAGTTACTATCTGTAAAAATAAAAATACAATTAAAGGTTCGTAACGACGTTGTTACAGACGTCTCTATCCACGATGAGTTCACCAATTCGGTAAATTTAGAAACGGCAGGTTCGGTGGATCGTCTTCTTCTGGGGTTGATCAATCAACCCTCTCAAAGGAGGGACGAGCACATCAGCGAAGAGTTAACCAATCATCTGTTTCAAACCCCCAATTTTCCTTTTGGAATGGACCTTGCTTCCATCAACATCCAAAGAGGCAGAGATCACGGCATCCCTCCATACGTTCAGTGGAGAGAACCTTGCGGTTTATCGTCGATAAAAAGCTTCGAAGACTTGGACAGAGTAATGTCACCATCTACTGCCAGAAAATTCAGATTCGTCTACTCGTCGGTAGAGGATATCGATCTCTTCAGCGGTGGACTGGCGGAGAAGTCGGTTAAGGGTGGTTTAGTGGGTCCTACATTTGCCTGCATAATTGGCCAACAGTTCAGCAACCTACGTCGAGGTGACAGGTTTTGGTACGAGAATCCTGACCAGGAAAGCAGTTTCACTCTTGGACAACTTCAGCAAATTAGACGGGTCAGCCTGGCCCAAGTACTTTGCGCCACGATGGACAACATAGAAACTGTCCAACCCTTCGTGTTCTTGACGGCTGACACCTTGAAGAATCAACGGTTGCCTTGCAACGATCCTATCATTGGACAACTGGATTTAGAATTCTGGGTAGAGAAACAGTCGGACTTAAAAGGCAGAGCTGGTATTCTAGATAAATTCAGAAGAACTACGACTCGATCCACCCTCGCGAAAGAGAGCAGTTCAACGAACGCCTTGGAGCAACGGAAAACATTTTCTCCGAATCTGACACCACCCAAACCAAGCATTCATCAACAAAACAGAATCGTCGTAAAGAAACCTTTAGGTCCTCCAGATAACGTGACCATAGTTGTTCAAAACAACGCTATCAATTCTCCTGTCTTTGTAAACGATGCCATTTACGGGTCAAGCATTAAAGTGAATCCTGCTCTGCATCAACAGACACATCAGTCTAACTCTCCTAACCCGAATTTAGATCTTGCTGGCCAGAGACCAGTTCATATGGACAACTTACAGTCTGTTCCAGTTTTTCTGCCTCCACCGAGACCAATACCTACTTCGCCTCCTCTAACGAACCTGGCCTACGCGAGTCCTTATATTCCGTACACTTTTAACGATCCCAACAATCCTAATCCTCTGAGCCAAGGTTTCTATTCTAGTTATCTTTCCAGTGACGTTGTCTTTGAAAGTTATCCAGGGTCCAATCCCAGACCCACTTTGTACACCTATTATACAAATTTCCAAAGACCTACTACTCCAATACCTGGACAGGGTGCAAACCTCTACATCATGGGCTATGTCCCACAAGATCAAATAATCAGACCAACGCAAACTTCTTGGCCTCGTCCTGATTCTCCTGATCAATTGTCCAGACCTTACGCAGTCAAGTGGCAAGATGTGCTTAGACCTGAACACTCGAACTCGCAAGGATACAGAGAAAGACCTTATGAGCCGATTAATCAACACTCCGATGACAGATACGGGTCTTTCGATAAACCGGCTGATAAAATTGAATATACGACTTGGTCTAGTGTTTCGCAATATCAGACAGGGTTAAATAATCGTTACGAATTAGACAGTCCTACTTATAGCTCGCAATCGACGGATAAACCTACTCAGGTTCATCCTGGCAGGCCAGATGTTAGCTCTGATCAAATTTCGACTGGAATAAAGGATTTTGTTAGTACAATTAATCCTAATAACGTCTATTTGAGTATTCCTTCTGGCAGACCGTATTCTCAAGACGATGCCAGTTCTTATTCGACCCAGAGCAATTACAAAGCGACAAGCAAACCGCATTATGATCAACCCGATAAGTCTGTCGATTCTTATCAGAATCTAGGAAGGCCGAAACCACAAAAGACCCATAGTGTCACTATCGTTGGGGCGGAAACGACGAGTCAAAGTGGACATGACATCGTCGGAATGGAGAATCGAGTTACTAGTGAAATTCCAAAACCATTAGTTTCTCGGATAAGCAACAAAAGGAAACCTGGACAATACTATTACGAGCAGAATATTTTGCATCGATATCCGGATTGGCCCTCGAAGGAAGATGACACTGAAGAGAGACACAAAGCGGTGAATAACGAGGAATCGATCGACCGGTTACTTATCAATGCTATTACTAGGAATCCTCCGCTTGTCGATGAGAATGGAAACGATAAAACGGAAACAGCGAGTGAAACATCAAATAGAACGTACAATGGGATAATAAAGGATGATGTCGATCAAGAAATTGTCTCGGAAGCGATCGAAGAATCTGCGGCAGCGGACAGGTATCTTTTGATTACGTTTGCACGATTTTCTGTCCTTGTGCAATATTCCGCATTTAGAATTTTGTTCTTATCTTAGTCGGTATATGTATGCGCAATAGGCACCTTCCATTTATTGTTAGCAAATGATTGTACAAGGATTTCTTATTTCTACTTTTCGTTTACATTCGTTTTGATAAGAGAAAAATGGATTAGTAACACGTGAATCACAAAGTACTATTATTTACCTTCAATTTAGAAATAATATTTCTTCCAAGGTGCATCGTTTATATTGTCTTTTGAAATTGCGATAACGTCTGTTAAAGTTTGAATCATCGAAAAATTAATCGGTCGTAAAAAAACAGTATTGTCATGGTATTTCTTCGTTAGAGTTTTAATGGTCACGAAACATTCGACGCGAAAAGGAAGCTCCTCTTTGAAGTAACAAAGTTCGGTGAAGAATCTCGTTAAGAAAATTCCACACGTGACAAGTAGACTAGGAAGTGGTTCACCTATTTTGTTTCTGTTTTCAGTACGAGCCATTGGCTGAATTCGCAAGAGGATCCAAGCTTGCCGTCAGCTCTGGAGGTGCCAAAAATGTCGTCTGACAACGCCACGGTTGCCAAGGAATTGCCTAAGCCCATTAAATTCAGAAGTTACGCTTCCTAAGTCCTCTTCGTATCCCGGTTCCTCTATGTGTCTTCTCGAGTTGTTTGACCTCTCAAACAGACGTCTCATTTTACTAACGCCTCGCGATCTATACAACTCTTACATAGGTATATCACGATACAATCGTCGATTTATAAAATTAATAGCTATACCTCCGTGATTGCGTAACAATATTTATTGTTTATTCGAGAAACAAGTGTTTTTATGTAGTTTAGCGATTTAACGGTAAGTATCGAAGTTCAGACACGATACGAACATTGTTAATAGTACGTAAGACGTAGTTATAAATATTATACATGATTTTACCATAACGCGGTAGACTTTCCAAATGGAAAGATATTCCATGACAGGCATTCGGAAAAAAATTTCAATGTCATTACTATTAAATTAACAGTATTAACGTAAGGTACTATTGGAAAACGCTATACGAACGGATTGATTTATTTTGATAAATGCATCAGTCAACGGCAAGTTGCTAAAGGGTCTAATGGAATGTAGCCCAGTTTTATGCCAATTTTAAACCACTCGCTATGACTGGAACCATACCGTACTATTTTCAGATATAGCCCCCGACACACTAAATTTCATATACTGCCAGACACATCGGTAATTGTAATTATACGTTTAATCGTGTTTAGACTGAACAATGTAAAATTTCTTTCGTTTACACACCGGGAGAGATTAGGTTGGCAAACGAAGCTAAACAACTAGTATAATTGTATAAATTTGTAAAACTCGTTTGTAGATAAAAGTTATCGAGTTTAACCTAATCAATCATCCTTTAAGATATTATATCGGATAAGACCAAATGAATCGATTAATTTTTTTCTTTTCCAATTCATTAAGGGGTTTTTCAACGGTAAAGCGTCGCGCATAAAAGCTATTTCAGCCGAGTAAGTTTCGTGGTTGTTGGCGAAAGAAGTTCCCAAGAAGTTCTTCACAAATAAAGCTCGCCAACTGGATCGCTGGAAGGGTATTCACATAGTGTTGGACATCCTCGAGAAAACTCAGTCTTTACACAATATTGTACGAGACGTCGAAGACTGTTTTTATGAACTATTCAAAACTACAAGTTTTGCTCGAAAACTTTTTATCTCGAATAACTAACTAACCACGAGATATAATTCTTTCCAAAAAAAACGTGTCCATGTCTTCTCGAGAGAAGTGCAGGAGCGACGAAATATCAATAACGAAACGAGATCCAATAATATTATAGAAACGTTTAATATGACAATTAATAATAACACGTGACTGTACAAGACATAAGAATGTAACTCGCGTCGTTCACCAATGACCTCCTAAATACTTCGTGTCGAAGTTTCTCTTCATTCTGGGTCAGTTTTGGCAAGAATTCCCACAGTTCTCGATGCACGATCTAAGCGGTCGCTAAGTAGTGGTTTTCGGGTCACCAGAAAACAGAGGCAACAACCGATCGAAATGCAGTTTTCGATGTCGTGACCTGAATCCAGAGTTTCTGCGGTTAGTTACGCGTTGAACCCAGTGATGAGAAACGATGGAAACTCGCATTGACCAAAACCAGTTCGCACAATATTCAATTACGAGACATTACGTCGGGCGTATAATTCGATCTTTTCTTTTTCGTCTTAACGGCAAACGATGTCGTAGATATTGCAACAATATTTCTCTGATAATTATTCGAGCATATTGACGTTCGCTTCGTCGGTACAACGAGACTTCCTACTTAATTATAGGGGATTACTTTTTGCTGGAAATCTCTCCATCTTTTTTACCTTTGTTCGATTAAACTGGTCTTTAAAAGTCGATCTCTTTGTGAAAGCTTGAACGGACTGGTATCGAATGACACGAATAAAATGAGGTAACTGCAGGTGCATCGATTTTCATGCTTTGTCAGAAATTTTATTTTTTTTTTAATAAACATCACATTGCAACTACCATCAGTTATACGGAATAGAAAAAGTTCTCTTTGACAGCATGTCAGGCACATCGTTTATCATTCCGACGATTAAAATCAGTTGAATTACCAAAACTGACCTAAGAATCGATATCGATTAGATAAATACGATTTTAGAATTCTGCTACTATTCAACGGTAATCTTTTATCAAGATGTAAGGCATTAGTATAGGATAAACTAATAAATAGTCCAATCTTTGAACGTTATCAATAAATCACACAGGTGGAAAGATAGCGAATAGATAGTAGATAGTAAATAGACATAAAATTTCAGTTGGAAAGAATGAGCTAGAAATAGAAGACAACAGGATGCTTTAACGCAAGAATTCGTCGAAAGAATATCTGCTGGAATCATTGCATCAAGCCAATTAAATGACGTAAGAAACGCTGCGCGTCTTCTGTCACGATTCTCACGTTAATTCGTTGTTTCTGCTCCTTTCGCTGATGCGATTACTGTACGAAAACAATCGTCACATCGCGATTAATTAAACTGCAATCTTGCACATTACAGGAACAAGGACACGTAGTTTCAAAATAGCGGGGAAAATCCCGCGCCGATCGATTCGTACCTCGAATTCCTTTAGCCAATCACGCGAGTCCGCGAAAATCAATTTTTGCAACAATTGCACAAGCCCTTTTTAAATTACGTAGACACTAAAATTTAATCAAACGAGCATTTTACAAGCTCATTTAATCGTAATTGCGGTAATGAAAGTAAATGAACAAACTGCAGAAAAATTTCAATACGACCATTCGATACTATAGTAATAGCATCAAGGAACAAGCGGATAAGGAACAACGAGGCATAAATTACAAATTTGTAATTATTAAGATTTTAAACATTCAGTATTTATAAGGCTGATTATAATTCACCGTCATGGTATAATATAGTATAAAAATATATAGTTAAATTGTTGGAAGAATAAAGAAATCTATTTTCGTAGCAGAGGTCGTTGAACGGCGGGAACAGGCGAACGAGGACCACGAGCTTCGCTATGGACAATATGGCGACGGAGTGGGGACGGTCCGGTTCCGCGTGCCTCTCGAACGAGACGAGCCATCAGTCCGTAGCGACGCGTCCCCGGGGCAAGTCGCTACACAATGTTGTCACGTTGTTTGTCAGGTTTTCGTCTGGATGCCATGGTGTATCATGGATTCGCGATACTCGTTTTGTTTTCTGTTCTCCTCGTGTCGTGTCCTGTTACCTGTCAAGAGACGTTAACGAATCGGATGCGTGTAATCAGCGAGGATCTGGACCGGCAGCTAAACGGAATCATGGCCTTGCAAGCTCTCAACTACACGACGATGAACACAACTGGACTGCCATACAACGCCACCACGAAGTTCAACCCCAAGGGCATGGGCCAGCTGTACAACGTGACCAACACGTTCATCGACTTCGTGCAGAGCAAACAAGCATATCCAGAGGGTGAGTGTTTGAGATATTTTCTTCGTGTATGTTTCTCGTTGGAGACATTGCGCGCGCGCTTAGTAGGGTTAGGGACAAGTTTTTCCGCGGCCTTGGTTACGCCCTGCGCGCTCGAAAATGGCCGGCTCCTTGTTGGTAAACAGATCGCTGTCAAATCAAGAATACGACAGAATTAATTACGATCGACTTAAGTTATCCCGAAAAATCGTTTGCGTCGGTAAGGTAGTCCCTAGTACTCGGTACATTGACGTACGTTCGAATACTTGTTCGAAAATCTAGTACGTACACGTAATTCGGAATAAATGTTGGTTGTATTTTCGAGTGAATATTTCTGCGAAGGATCGAGGAGGATATGGCATCTTGCGATATCCTGTTACTGGTCAATTTATATATTCCGTTAGATAGCGTTCGTTGAAGATTTCGCGATTGTTTTGTACACGCGATGGAAATCTAATTTGTCAAAAGGTGAAAGAGCAATTGTTACGAATTTCTCTGCTCGGAGTTATCGATTTCTTTCTCTACAATATTAGTATATACTTAATTCTGTTTCGTTATACTATCACGCGAATCTTGCTCAATCGCGACAAGGATATTCGATTTTAATGACCACGCTGTACGGCGTGTGCCGAAATTTGCTATTGACAAAGCAACACGTGATAGTAAACATGTTAAATACCTGTTTGCATCTACTCTCGGCGACGGTGATTAGTTTCTGTTATAAAGGTGTAAACGTGAAAACAAAAGAACATTGTACGATCGATGGACGTTCGAAATAGGGAACTCGTTGTCGGACGATTAGCGTACTCGAATGGTCGATATTTAAGGAAACGAAATATTTGTTGACAATATACATATTGATCGTGGAAGTTCTCCGAAAGGCAGCTGTGTTTACTGATTGACAGGCGAAAAGCGGGCAATCATTGGGAATAAAAAATGCGATAACTAGCTAAACTAACCGGATCAATGACCCTTTCGTCGCGCGAACGTAGGAGCAGGGCTCGTGCATCTATATCAATTCCAACAGGAAGTTGATAGCGAGCGTTCGTCATCGTCTAACAAACCTGACGTCTGCAATAACCTCGTCTACGTTCTTTCTATCCGTTTTCCTTTTCTATCTGTAACGGATACGTATGCTCTTTTTCTTTCGTTGGTTCTTCCGATTCCGGAAGAGCATTGACAATGAAAGAAGAGCTGTCGATGATCCGTTCGTTTTGCGGCCAACGTCAGTGGTTCTCAATCGATGCTCCATTTGACGACGGGATGTCGAACGAGTATCGATTAACGCTTCGCGCGCTCGCTCTCGAACGAATTCTGAATTTCAACTCGACGCTTTTGACGGTCGTACGTTTCATGAAATCGATCGCTCTTGTAATTCTATATTGAAAATCTTTTGTAATTCTATATCGAGAAAATTTTATTTGTTAATCTTCAATTTATAAACAGTATTTATCGGCTACTTATTCGAATAGATCTTGTTACGATAAAATTAACGTTCGGCTGATTCAGAAAATTATAAGATAACAAAAATTTGAAAAGAGTCTGAAACGGAGAACGAAGAAACGCATAAAAATTGACACCGACAGGAAACCGCAGCTCGGTTTTAAAGTCGCAGAAAACTACGAGAGCGGATCCACGCACGAATCACTTTCAGACAAACGCGAGAGAAGCCGATTTTCTGCTTAGTTGTCCACGACCAGCGTTTTTTAACTTACGATGCTTGATTCAGTTCTTGGTCGTTTCCTTTCGTTTCGTTTCGTTTCATTCAATTTTCTTATCTGTTGTACGGAAGACGTAGTATCGCGAACGAGTGTTTCGAGTGTCATCGACACATGTTATCGAATACAATTATTCGTAAAGTGTCTGCTGATCGAGTACCTGTTATCATTTTGGTAGATAGATTTGGTACCATAGATAGATGAGAAGTTTTATTGGCCACTTCGAGACGCTTTCATTACTTCCGTACCACGAACAATTGCGTCTTATTAGCTGTTATTGTTTCACGAGGCAAGGACTCGCGTCGCTTCGTTTCTTTTCATTCGCGGCAAAGTCTTTGATTCCTCTTGTCTCGTTTTTGAAGAAGGAAACTTTAAGCGTTAACGCGTTACTCGGAATTACGGATGTAGATACGGTTACGGAGTAACCAAGTAATAGATTATGTAACACGAATGAGTGGCTTCCTTTTTAGATATTAGAAATAATCGGACGATAGTCGATGATACTTGATAACTGAATCTGACCGATAATACTCGACACAATGACTAGACTATCGTTGACTTAGTCTGTGTACTTATCCAGATTTTATCAGCGAAAATTGGAGTTTTAATTTCGTTCGACGAGTACTCTTCCCTTTTTAGCTTGACAGGCAGGAAATTTGGATTGACATAATTGCAAAACAAACTTCCTAAAAAAAGATAGAGCAGTGGAAAACTTTGATTCATTCGTTAACCAATAATTTTGGTTAGAGATTTTTCCTCTGGCTATCCATGTTTACAGACAGTCGTCGTGTCTAATTTAATTTTCGCTAAGCGTACGTAGTCGCCATTTATTTTCGATAACGGATCGATGAAATGTCTATCGGGTAAACCGTGCACTGCCTCGCAGAAAAATGAGAAAAGTTCGGCAAGTTCGATGGAAAATTCGTGGACGAGTCAGGAGGAAAAGTTACAGTCGTGATTTACTTGCTATTCAAACTCGAATTCCGCCTGTTTTTTTACGTTTCTTCTTCTCTCGAAACCGGTGTAAAATATTGCGGTAGTTCGCTTAATAAGTAATGTACTTGGATGCGTGCTAATACGTTAATGCGTGTCAGGTAAAAATCGTTAATAAAAATTATGGTAGGTTATCTCTGTTTTATTACATTTTTATTACTTCGTGGAACGATCTGCAAGAAGAATGCAGACGAAAGCGAAAACAGTGAAACTGGCGTTGCACCGCAATCGAAGTTTATTGAATGAACAAATATTCATTGATCAACATTCCTACTTGTTAACTATTGTTGGACTCGAGATAGCGTATCGCGTCATTGTTAACGCGATAAGGCAGTCAGAAAAAATTTGAGGAAAACATGATCGTTTTCTAATCAGTAAATAATGGGTAATTATCAAAACAGAACGGGATTAATCTTGTAATAATCTTCGACTTTGAGAGTGAGGAATTTTTGAATGATAGGATCACTGGAAAGTTTACAAAGTCTTAGCAGTGAAACGAATTAAAACGTAAAATCGGGACGTAGGTGGAACGTTGGTAGACATGAAATAAATAATGTTTGGAGCGCAAATAAGCCGACTAGGGAATAGGAGAAATTGTAGGGGTCAGAAGGAAACTGGGAACAGAGGGAAACGGAGGGTCCACGGTGAAACCTCACCGAGAAGTTTACGCGTGGAGAGTGTAGTCCAGGTAAATTACGGCTTACACTGTTCGCGGTGCCGCTACGATGGAAACTGCATGAACATTCTATGACTTGTTCCTCCGAAAAGACCAGAGAGTTTGCGGGTCAGCGTGGGAAATTAAATCGAAGTTAGATCCACGTCGAGAAAGTTTGATTTATATTAGTACGTATGCCTGGAGAAGCAGCTTTTGCTACTTGAAACTTTCTGTTTTCGCTGATGAAATTTGCCATTTTTCTCCTCATTTTACTTCCGTACCGTTTATTCAATTTTTCAATCGTATTTTTCCGCGTCCATTTATCATTATACGTAGAGCAGCGATTCGTTAAATATCCACGATTTATGATTACGAGCTTCGAAATTCGTGACTAATATATTATAGCGATACGAGTTGGCTTTTAATTAGACACGGGATATTTGGTTGGTTGTGCGCAGGGTCGTTAAGCAAAATTTAATCTCGTTCATCCCTCGGCGACTCGGTAATTACTGAATTTAAGAGGTACGTTAAAAGTTTATGATGTGAATTCAGTTTGAATTCGAAAGATGTTAAGATAACGAAACGTTAATTTCCTTAGCGGAGCTCATGGACAAAACGTGGAAAAATCTTGATTTCGCATTGCGACACTTCCCGTCCTCGACTCGACGGGATTCTGTTTATTCCGATAGATTTTTCTTTATTAATACGAACAATGGAAGCGAAGGTTGGTCCGGTTAACCAACCGTTATCGTTAATAATTCGATAAATAATGGTTCGGAAGTACTTCCGAGTGTCTAGATATTTTCATCATTACCTTGGAATTGGAGCAAGTCTGTTCTTTTGTTCTCGCTTGTAATAACAGCTAAAAAGAGGAAACAAGAGTTTCGGTTCGCTATCGAAATACTAAACCGAAACGAATCTCTTTCCATCTCTGGTGGAAAAGTCCAATCATCCGGTATCGAAACTCACCGGTAATCCGGACCGAACAACATCCTACCACAAAGGTAGCCAGCGGGCAAATTAAATTCCTCTCTTGATACCTCGTTCCCTCCATTTACACGAAATACCAGCGGAGGCGATGGTATTAACTCTCCGATGGAACGAAAAACCGATTTTTCCGAAAGTCCACGAAGAGGATTAGGTAGATACGTAATTCGATTCGTCGTCGAGCGCATCGAACTTCGACGAGCGAAGTCTTTGACAATTTAATAGAGACCACTCGCGACGGTAGGTGATCGTTTTCACGGGATTTACGGCAACGATTTCGTCGGACCATATCGAGAATCGGAGAGCAAAGGGATGCCAGACGGAAAGCAACGATGCGATATATCACGGACGACAAAGAAGGACGTTAATGAGCCAGACGGAGCTGGAATTGAATCCAGTGTCGCGCCAAGCGCACGGACGGACCGATTCTCGCTCGAACAACGTGGAAAATATTCTATAAAATGTTAACATTGCGCGAGTAGTCGACGCGAACGAGATTTCGTTTGTAACGACGCCGGATGAAAATAAGGCGAAATCGGTCGTTTCCCGAGAGGGTCGCGACGCTTACTGTTGCTTCGCTGGAAAACACGATCGATCCGTTCTATTTTCATTCGTTGCACCCTCTTATCGATACCGCCTATCGAGCGTAG